TATTCTATGAAGAAAAAGAGCCAAGATCACAAAGGCGTCGGCCTTTTAAGAATTAAGGCGAAAAGATAGGGTTTTTTGGGGATTTCGAGGGTCAATTTTCAAGGCTTCTGTTTTCTAAAGGTAACCTTAAACGGGGGGGGAGCCGGTCAAAACCCTTCGGAGTTTGAAAAAAGGGAATTTGGTTTTGGTTTAGAAAAAAAGTGCGTACTTTTATTGGAAATTTGAAATCAGGCGGTATATGAAGCGGGTCTTTTTGTTCTACAGAGACAAATTTGAATGACAAAGAGATGAAAGAGTTCCAATATTTGAAGGATCAGGCTCAAAGAAAAATGGAGCAAAAATTAGCAGAGCTTGGCATTAACAAACCTGCAGAAAGTCCTTCACAGCAGAGTTTGAGTCCCCTTTCCCAAATGGAGGCCCAAGCAACCCCAGTGAAATCTCCATTCCAAGAAACTCAACATGCTGATGAACGAAGCGAAGATAGTGAAGATGAAGAAGAGAAGAGGTTGCGGGAAGAGTTAGAGAGAATAAAGTTGAAGAAGAAGGCTGATAAAGAAAAAAGATTAGCTGAATTACGTAGGCAAGTCCAAGATGCTCAAGCTGAATCTGATGATGGATTCAGTTCTTCGGTTTCTGGTAGTAATAATGGCAACGTTCTAGCACCACAAGTTGAGGGAACAGTCGGTCATGTCGAATACCCAGCAGTGCCTTCAGCTGCCAATCCAGTCTCCTCCGTTTCCGCATCTATGTCAGGAAGCTCTACGCCTGTTCAAGGGACATCGGCAGCTGCAAGAAACCCATTTTTCAAGTCTACGGATAGTTCCAACAGTACTTCAGGTTTATCTGATTTAAAGGCAGCAGAGGCTCAGAGGCGTTCTCAAAGGGGTTTGGATGATGATGCCGATGCCTGGTCAGATGATGAACCTTCTCCAGTTGCTCCAGCTCCGGTTGCTCCAGCTCCGGTTGCTCCAGCTCCGGTTGCTCCAGCTCCAGCTCCAGTTCCAGTTGCTCCATCTCCAGCAGCTCCTCAGCCATCTAATCTACCACCAGTTCCTATTGCCCCTCCATTACCACAAGTTCAAGGTGTTCCTCAGCCAGTTGTTCCACTGGCACCACCATTGCCTCAGGTAAAACAAGAAGAACAAGGAAACTTTTTAGCGCCACCACCATCACTTCCTCATATGGACAATATCCAAAACTCGCAGAATTTGGATAGCCATTCAGATCAAGATGATGTGTTATCAATTCCGGATTCTGTTGCTTCTGAGGATGAATTAGGTGATGAGCCTGGTCTCCCACCATCTGGGATCCCACCACCTCCTCCTTTACCTTGATTTATATCGTAACGATGGTTAGATCTCTGTTTTATGTACTAAGTTTTAATCATGTATTATGTGCTGTATTGAGTATTTTATATGATTATATCAATTATGTAATTAAATTTTAAGTGAATATGTTTTGTGTATATCTTGACTTAAATTGAAAAGATTTTTCATGATTAGGTTATGATTTATGCTATTCTTCTAAAAAATTGGGACCGTTGATAATTGATGATTTCTTTCAGGGGTTCTTCTCTACATAGTCTTTATTTAATTCTTTAGTCACTGCTTCTTCATAATCTAAGTCATCACCTCTTGGTTCATATAGAATATGATCTACAACAATAGCATTTCCGGCAATTTCCGCTCCATTAAGATTGTCCACTGCTAATATTGTTGAACGTTGATCCTCATATTTTAAATAAGCAAAACCTCTCGAAGAACCAGTTTCATTTTCCCTTACCAATTTGATATCAACGGGCACCCCAAATTGAGAAAATACCGTAAGAATATCACCTTCTGTAAGATCTTTATTTAATCTACCAATATATATGTATGCCTGATCCTTATATGTATCGTGCCAAGAAAGTGAAGGTGATAAGACCCCGTTTTCTAATTCGTTTTCATTTATTTTCTGTATTGCTTTAATCTTATTCATATTCACGTTATATCTTTTGCAGAAATGTGTTGGCTGGACAAAATTGAATTATGTTATCTATCAACTATAGGCATATCATTTCTCAGTTATCCAAAAGTTGTGGGTTTCTTAATTTACTTTTTTTTTTTATTTCATTCTTGTTCAGCCGAAGCTTGAAAAATTTAGAGGTAGCTTCTTAATATACGTAAAGTGACAGAACTATTCCTTCATACTAAAATGATAACCATAATTACCATTCAAAGGATCATAACATAAATAGACAGATCATTGAATTTTTGTATGTTTTTAATTTGAATTCATGTGAAATAGAGGAAACTGTTTTATTAATGATTAATTGAATGCAGAAAATAAGATTATTTTACAAATATTGGAAAAATTTACAAAGAGGGAGTCAAGCAATTGTTTTACAGGGAAAAATTAGTATAAATTGTAACGGATGGATATAGAAAATCAATCAAATAAAATATAATTCAGATCAAATTTTAGCTATATTTTTTAGTGAGAATTTGTATTAATAAGATGCTAAATCAGTGTATATTCGGAATCCCTTTGCCTATGTATATGTGCAATCCGTGCCGGTAAATAATCTTCATAGTTATAAAAAAATATACAATGAAAAGGAATAAGATAAAGAAATCTTTAATTAGTGTATATATTCCGTTAACTTGGATGGATAATGATGGAATATATGGTTATCTTTTAGTGAATTCAATATACTAGGTTTTTTAGAAAAATGACGAAGGGCTTTTGCCATAGCAAACCTTGTGAGATTGTAACATTTGAATCAGACTAGGTATAAATAAATTAAACTAGGACCTATATATATATAAGTTTGATCTCGATTTAGTCAAATTAATGATATACAGCATTTTCTATAATAGCCTAAACGTATCAAAGTAGATTAAGGAAGCGAGTAAGTGCCTATTTTGTATTTCTTACAGAACTGTCAATAATAGCTAATGGCTAACTAGCTTATTTATGATCAATTTAGGAATTGATATTGAAATGATTAATCGAGGAAGTTTGAAGGACAAGTGTGCCGAGACTCGTTTATAACTATGGTGTAGTTTATTTATGTTCTCGTCTCATTATTCTTGTACTTGCAAGGTTCCTTGTCTCACCATATTTTCATGAATTCATTTAGTTCAATTTACTTCCCATCATCTCTTTCAAAATTCACGATTATAAGTACATCCTATAACCTGATCTAAATGGTACTATTGTTGATGTACTTTTTAACATATGTTGGGAGGCCGCAGAAAAGCATTTCCAGATCTGGACACCGCTAATCTACCCAAAACAGTAATCTTCCATCTGTAGAAATACACTGGAATTGTATATATCCCAAATTGGTGCTATCCAGATCAGGAAATATACGCTAAATCAGGTAATCGATTTAAAAATGTCTGCCCAAGAAATCGGGATAGTTTTTGGATCGCGAAGAAAATACTGCAGTAGAATTATTTCCTCGAGCCGAAACATGGTACCGTTTCTTTTTCTCTTGTTTATTTCGAACTTCAATAAACAAAAAAGTTTTGTTTACCTGCTTCCTACTTGAGTAAGATGGACATTTCATATATAAGCAATGAGAAAAGCTTCTGGATCAGAAATGTTTTGTCTTAATTCTAGCTTCCTTTTTGGTTCTTGGCCTAGATTAATTCCTTACTCAAACTTTAATGCTTTTAATACTTTCTATATTAGCATTCAATTTTCAAGAATCCATCATTCATCAGTCTAGCAAGAACTATCATTAGCTTTGACATAGATAGACGAAAATACAAACATATAAGAACAAAATGTCTTTAACTAAGCTAGCTATTTTATTATCCGCAGCCGTCTCTGCTGTTTCTGCTACTTCCGTGGTTGCCAATGATCCTATTACCACAACAACTACATCTGTCATCACTGTTTATGAAACCGTATTACCAAGTACTGTG